GTGAGCATTGAGTTTCTGCCAGGAGGGAGTTGTGGCTACCCACTTTTCATTGGGGCAACCCTGAGAAATTTGGGGGAGGGGGAGGGCCGGCTGCCCCCTCTTCTCCCTAGGAAGGGAGAGGACGAATTCTTCCCTTCCTGTGTCTTCTTAGGCAGGAAACGTTGGTGCCACGTTGGTGCTGCTTCATAGCTATAATTACCCTCTGGCCTGACTTAACCAAAGTTCTTGGTTAAACCCGCCTTTCCCCCCCCCCCTACAACCTCTCCAGATGCTTTGTCCTCTTCTGTAGTTTTGGCTGTTGGCTTAGACTTACGAGGAGTCCAGAAGCTCCACATCCTTTGACCTAGATCGTTGCTTGGTGAGTTACCAACCCAGGTGGGGCTGGACGCTTGACTTGTCAGGTTGAGGCAGGTCTTGTTTTGTGTTTGCCAAGTCTTGTTCGGCTGGCCAGGCACTTAAGTTGGTGTGGATTGAGAAGGAAAACACCTCACCAAGCGCCTCCCATCTGGGGAATTGGTGGCAGGAAGGCAGGTTGCCCTGGGTGCAGGGAGTTAGGGGGCCTGTCTTGTGCTTTGGAGTCAACAGACTGGATTTGGAGATGGAGCAGAGAATGGGGAGACTGGGGATTTAGGGAGGAAATGCACTGTTGGGCAACTGAACATTTCTGGGTTGAGCAGGACTGGTCTAAAGATTCGGAGCCGGACGTTTGCCCGGGAATACGGCTTGGCTCATTTGTGTGAGTTGTCTGCAACTGGGCTGTGGATGCTTTCCTGCTTGGTCCTTCTCCTTGAGGTAGAGTCCCATGGGTCTCCGTGTGGCTGAGCATCCTGGCCTTCTCCTTGGAGGGCCAGATTTGATAGCCTCTGGGATCCCTTCCTAACCCTTCCTAGATCCAGAGTAAGAGTCAACCCTGGGCAGGAACGGCCCCTGTTTCCTAGCAACTGGCCACCGTCTCCTCTACAGATTCCAGAAATGGCCTTGGAACAAAAGGCTCTTAAAACTCTTTCCCCCCCCCCTCAATTCTAGCGGCTGAGTTTTCCAGTAGCTCCGGGGCGAGCAGACCATGCCTGGCCCTGCCAGGAATGGCCCCGTCAGCCGTTTCTGCCTAATGGAACTGGCATTGATCTACCACTGCAGGGCTCTGGGCATCTGCGCCAGCTCTGCTTTCGCTCTCAGCGAGATCTGCAGTGGAGGGTGGGAAGATATTGTGACAAGCACACAATCCCGGCTGGCGAAGCAGGAATAGGTCTGGAGACACTGCATCCAGCTGCTCTCTCTCTCTCTCTCTCTCTCTCTCTCTCTCTCGCTCTCTCTCGCTCTCTCTCTCTCTCTCCAGACCAGGCCCCTGTAATTCAAGGAAAGAAGAGTCAATAAAGGAGAATATTTGCAGCTCAGGGTTGGGGTCCTTGGTGCTCTCTGAGCTGGGTTGTTTTCTTGCAAAGATGCTTCACGACCCAGAGTAGGTAACATCATCAGTGCCGGCGGGGTTTGCTGCAAATGCTCCTCCGAGCACTGAGGGTGTAACCTGGTTGGGTCATGAAACGTCTGCAAGAGAACAGCCAAGTTCAGGAAGCACCAAGGACCCCTCAAAGAAAACCCAGTGTGGCCTGCAGCCAGACCTCCCCTCCCCTCCAACCGCCTGGGCCTCAGCACCTGCATCGCGCCACATAGAGCCGAGGCTGTGGTGTCCTTTCCAGAGCAGGCCTAAGACGTAGCATGCCGGCTCCCGCAGTCATCACGGGCCTTGCCCAGGAGTCAGATCCTTGGGTCCAGCGAGACCGTCAGCTTTAGAAGACTGAAACCGGCACGCTTGCAAACAATATCAGCAGCTGCGTTCTTGTTTACTTTTAATTTATTTTTGTCTTTTCCGACTTTTCAAAGCGAGGCTGGTGTTTTTCTGTGCGCCAGCCTCTTCCGTGCTTTAACTCAAACATCCCCCAATTAGCGGCACCCCCCCAAATCAAGCTGAAGGCCTTCGATGATGGCCTGGAACCTCAAAAAGGCAAACTTATCAGAAATTATGCCGGATTTGTCGGTTTGAGGTAAGGGCTCGTGCGTTCCAGAACGCAAACTGTGGTTTCCCTGTGTAGTACAACGTTGGTCTCCCGAGCAGCTGGATTTTGTGCCAGGGATCAGATTACAGGTTTGGAAGCAGAGAATGGAGGGCAAGCCTCTGCAAAAAAAAAAAAAAAACCCCAAACCCATGCCAAAAAAAGGAGCTGGGGGGGGGTGGGGGAAGGAAACGGAGCAGGGGAGCCGGTCCGTGCTAGAATTTGCAAAGCGGGAAGCCGAGGCATGTGGGTCTTTCTTCCAGCTCCCCGAGTGCCACAAGCGCATTCCTGCTGCGTTGTTGTCTTCAGCCTGGGAAACTGGAGGCTGCAGCCTCCCCCCCCCCTCCTCAACGGGCCTGTTTTTGTCGGACGGACAATGGGCCCATTTTGCTAGCTATCTGTGTCTTAAAGAGAAGAGGCCAAAACCGCCAAGTCGTAAAATCAGTCTCCAGAAAGGTTTTTTTTTCTCCCAGCTGGGTCTCTGCAGCGAATTCAAAAGGTGCTCCCCCCCCCCCTGGTCACGCCACGCCCGGTATGGGGGTGTTGGCAGTTCTGCCTCCGATGCCAGGAGGGAGGGCCTGCTGCATGAAACGTTCACGGAGGGGCTGCTCCACCCAGGCAGTAACAAGGAAGCCTACGCGGGAAAGGCCAAGAATGCAAGGCATGGACCCAGGGCTGGGCAGGGGTCCTGTGACGCCCCACGCCCATGAGTTCAGCACCTGGGAGACTCGGCCCGGAGAGGGGGAAGGAAGAGGCCTGAGCAGCCAGGGGGGATTCCCAGAGAGCTCTGGAGTACCCACTTAAATACCAGAGCAGCTCCTACTCAATCTGAGAGCATCTGGCGGAGGCTAGAAAGGCCTTTAGCTGGCAAACCACTTGGCCCCAGCTCCTCCCAGCGCTTCCTCTTCTTCCACTCACCGGAGCTCCTAGTTTGGTGTGAGTCTTCGTCGGTAAGCCTGGCTAGCTGTGAAATGGAGACGAGCGCTCGGCCTGAGAAGGGGGCCTTTCCTGAGGCACAAAACCTCCCCTCCTTCCCTCTCCGCAGGGCCTGCCTTTACCATGCACAAGGTGGCTTTGGCGTCCACGGATTTGCCCGGCTCGACCCCCTGCTGCGAGGAGACCCCGGACTCTTATTGCCCAGAGGATGACCGGTGGCAGAAGCTGCGCACGGCGGTCCGGAAGCTGGAATTCTGGGAAAGCTTTGAGGCGGAGCTGATAGGCAGCGGCTTCTTCTCCAAAGTCTTCAAGGTAGGGCAGGGCGTCACCTGTTGAGCCACCCACCAGGTGGCTACAGTTGCCCGCCCCTTGGGAGGATGGGGAAGCTGGGGGGACAGAAGTCCCAACCCATCCAGAAGGAGGCAGGCTCCATCTCTTAGACCTGCTTGTGGGTATTGGGAGGAATGTTCTAGGCATCCACACTGACCCTCCGTAGCCAGCTGATTCCGGGCGCAGGGACAATCAGATTAGCCCAGGAGAGTGTGCAGAGCGCATCGTCTCCAGCAGTGGTGGGATTCCTTTTTTTTTTTTTTTTGGCCTGGTTTGGTGGGCGTAGTTTGGCGGGCATGGCAGGGGAAGCATCCCGTAAAATCCCCCTTCCCTCCCCACCCCACCAACCTGCTTCCCAGCTCTGTTCTCCTATGCAGGGCAACTCAAGAAGACCCAGCCGATTAGCTGGGACTCGATGGGAGGCAGAGAATAGAGTCAGTCAGAGGTGGCATTTTGCCAGTTCTCCAAACGACTCAACATTTCTGCTAGTGGATTCTCCAGAACTGGTCAGAACCAGCTGAATGGTCTGGTCTCCAGACCAGGCAAGATGCTATGAAAACAGGGGACAGGGAAGAACCGGAGAAGCCCAGCTGGGGCCACTGCTTTTGAGCAAAAGATCAGCCAGCTTCCAAGGTGGTTTCAAGACCAAGACGGGAGAAGGAACGTTTTGTCTTAGGGGTTGGCATTCTCTGTGCCAGGACAGATCAGGGGGAGAGAAGGCAGCTGCCTTTTTTTTTTTTGTCCTGATGGAAAACACAAGAGGCAGGAGTCCCTCGTGCGATGGGACTTGATCCAAGATGTGCAAAACCAAGAGCCGGTGTTTCTCTAAAGGGAGATGAGCCTTTAAAACGAGACGCTTTCCGCCTGCATTAAGAACACCCCTCTTCTTGAAAGCACCTTCGCCTCCTTCCGAGGGTCCCTTACCCCCGGCAGCTGAGGCTGGCTCCCTTCTATCCTCTTCCCCTGCTAATCCTCACCCCTGTCTCTTGGCACCTGTTCATTTGCCAAAGGGGCAACAGTCCTTTGTTTTTCCAAGCCTTCATGTCCCTGACTCCCAGTCTGCAGGATTCCTGCGGAAGGACAAAAACTTTGCTAGCCAAGGTGGTTTGCTGCGGTTGGACAGGATGACCTTGTGGGGCTTTCTAGAAGCGAGGGAGAATGGTGTCAGGACCGAGCCAGGACCTGCCACTGCTGGGCGGCGCCTTTTCCTCCTTATCTGGCGGCCGAGGCACCTTGTGCCAGGTTGGGGCACAACAAAGGCTCCTTGGAGTTCGAGGACCCCTATCCAAAGCCTTGGGGGGTCCCTGTTCGGCACCCCGAGGCTGACCCTCCCCCAATTCTTGCATCCCGGGTGCAAGAGGCGGTGCCCCTTGGATTGCTTGGGCCATTTGCGCCGGGAAGCAAATTGAGGCGTCCATTTTCCAAAGCCAACGAAACCTTCTTTTTTAAAGCTAGAGTTGAAACTCGGATCCTGCCCTTGGAGACAGCTGGTCTGCACGTCCCCTGCTTCACCCCGCCTGGCTCTTCGTTTCAGGCCCCCCTTCCCCGACGTGTTCCATCCCCTTCTCGGGCAAAGCAAGCGCCCTCATTGTGCCATGCCCAGGCAAAGCTTTTCGTGGCTCACTGAGCGCCTGACCGCGTCGTCCGTCCGTCATTAACCTTTTCCTCCGTCAATCTGAATGCCGGCTTGATTGGAATGCTGGGTGACTTGAGGAGGGCAGCCCTGCCAGGGCTACTGCCCCGCCTGGAAGAGAGAAAGGAAGGCAGAGGATTAATGAGCAGCCTTGAAAGCATTTTTATTGGAGAAACCATCAAAGAAAGGCTGCTGTAACCCAACTGGCAGCTCGCCTGGCTTAGCTGTTGGCCAAGTCTCCTTTTCCTCTTTCCCGATTCCCGAGAAATGGCCTAATGGGTGTACTTTGGAGAAGCTGGGCTGCCAACATCAATCTGGCCCCTAAGCAGGACAGCTGGGGAGGAAAGAGAGCCTCCAACTGCCTGAGAAGAGGCTAAATGAGGCTGTCAGTCAATTAAAAGACTTTACAACCAAGGAACCTTTCAAACATCCCCATGAATCCTTTTCAAAGGTTGCCTGTGATCACGGCTTCAATAAAAGGATCGCTCTCCCCCCGCCCCTCCCTCCTCCAGATTACTCATAGCTTCATAAAATACTCCCACTGCTGCGTGTTAGAAAGGAAAAATAGCTTTAACGTTTTTTTCCCCCCTTGCGCCCCAGAAGTGCACTTAGCTTGCTTCCCACGCATGGCTAGTCCACTCACAACTGCGCCAAGCCTTCCCCGACGCTAAACGTGTTGGACCTTCAGCCCTCCTCATTTTCCATCTGGGCTGGGAACGATGGGAGATGTGACCCGCCCACACGGAAGACAGTCGGCTTGGGATGAGGAATAGTTTGAGCTTCTGCGTTTTAATCCTTGCAAGCGGCTCGCTAGTCCCTAGTCTGAGAAAGGCTGCAAAATAAAACCACAGAAGTAGGTTTGAGCCCTTCTACGCCTGCCTTCCGTCCTTCCATTTCGGGCTGCAAATGCAGCTTCCCCCAGGAGTCCCGCTTCAAGCGGAACTTAGTTAGCCAGAGGGGTTCCCTGCCCCAGAAGACCCTGCCCCATTTCTGACCAATGGCAGTCCAGTCTCTTCTTGAAAGTCTCTCCCACCACTTCCGCTGTTCCATTGCTTGATTCTTTTCCCTGTCAGAAAGTTTCTCCTTATTTCCAGGTTAAATCTCTCCTTGTTCAGTTTCCATGCATTATTCCTTGTCTGGCCTTCAGGTGCTTTGGAAAATAGCTTGACCCCTTCCTCCTCTCTGTGGCAGCCCCTCAAATATCGGAAGGCTGCTATCCTGTCTCCCTTGGTCCTTCTCTTCCCTAGACTAGCCAAGCCCAGTTCCTGTAACCGTTCTTCATATGTTTTGGTCTCCAGTTCCCTAATCATCCTGGTTGCTCTTCTCTGCACTTTTTCTAGAGTCTCGACATCTTTTTTATAACGTGGTGACCAAAACTGGATGCAGTACTCAAGGTGTGGTCTTGCTAAGGCTCTATAGAGCGGTATTAGTACCTCCCTTGATCTCGATTGTATCCCTCTTGTTAATGCAACTTCTGGCTTCTGGCAGGTGGTTCCCCGTCCTGGGGCAAAGGCCATGGTGGTCAAGATTTACAAGAACGATGCTGACCAGGAGGGGATTGTGAGGGAGATCAGCTTGCTGCAGAAGCTCTCCCACCCCAACATCGTCCGGTAGGTCTCAGCGGGGTCCTTTTTACCACCCTCTCCCATGGGTCGCCACCTCTCTGGGAAGGAAGGCCCTCGCCCTAACCCCCCAATCTTTCCTTTTGTGTAAGGTACCTCGGGATCTGCGTGAAGGATGACAAGCTGTACCCCATTCTGGAGGTAAGAGGGGGGAGGATCTTCCCCTGCCCCCAAAACAGCAGCCGTCAGTCATCCAGGCTAGGCTGCCTTTTAAAGGAAGGACCCTTTGATTTTGGTGCCGGACAGGAAGCAGAAGTTTTCAGTGGCGGGAAATTTGTCCGCCTTCTGGAACAGCCGAAGCTTCTCCGGAGGGCTCCTGTGGCATGTCATGTTGCCTTTTGGACTCCTGTCTTTTTTTATTTTGGTGCTGTGTCGTTTTGTGGCCTTCTTGTGAGCCTCCAAGAATCCCGCGAGATGGCAGCGACACATTCATTTGATAAACCCTTCGCCACCCGTCTATCTGGCTTGCAATTGGCCTCATGGCCCCCAAAAGTGGGGAGTTGTGGGGGGGCTGATATACCTCCATCTGGACCACGCTCCTTTGCGCTTTAGGCCTGAGGTTGCTAACGATGTAAACAAACGAGCCTGCATCTCAGTGTTGAAATAAAAAACAAAAACAAGGGAATTCCCAACGTGGTGAATCCTGCACGTAGAAATAGAGAAGCTCAGGGAAGGAGGTTCTAGTTTCCCTCTGCAAGGTTCCTTCCTTTGTCTTCAGCATGGGGGAGCGTGTGGTTCCGCCCGGCCTTCCCCCAAGGGGACATTTGCCAGGCGGGTTGGGCTGCAGCTCCCGTCCTCCTCAGCCGTTTGAGGATGGTGGGGAATACCGGCTGACGGGCCCTGCGGGGCTGGGAAGGCAGAGTCGCCTCCATCCCGGCCTCCGTGGGAGGCGACTCAAAGGCCCCTCTTCCCTCCTGGGCTGCCCACAGTACGTGAACGGCGGTTGCCTGGAGGAGCTGTTGGCCTGCAAAGATGCCCCCCTCAGCTGGAAGGAGAAAGTGGGCTTGGCCTCGGACATCACCCGCGGGATGGTCTACCTCCACTCCAAGAACATCTACCACCGCGACCTCAACTCCAAGGTGGGCTTTCAGTTTGGCCTCCTTTCCGAACATCCCAGGATCGGCAGAACTGCAGAGGGAGGGGAGGGGTGGGGAGGGGAGGGGAGGCCCCCCCCTAAGGCCATCCGAGGAGTGCGCAGAGGACAGCCTGCGCCTTAGTTTGTCTTGGCCAAAGGAGCCTCCCTGTTCAGGAGCAGTCTGCCGAGTCCCAGGAATGGAGGAGGAAGGGCACTTTGGCTTCTACCTTGAAGGCTGTTCTGGGTTGTTGGCGTTGTTTTCCTTGTTTGGGGCTGGGGCCGTGAAGACCTGGGCCGTCGGTCCAAGACCAGCGTCCATCCAAGAGGGAAAAGGCCTCTGTGATGCTAGGACAGTCCCAAGAGGTTGTTTCCTGCTCTAAGGGGTCAGTCCGGTCACAGCGCCCCCAACCACCACCACCCCAATTCAGAACTCCCAGGGGGCTTGAAGGGGCCGTCCACCTGTTTTTTTCAGAACTGCCTCATCCGAGTGACCCAACGAGGGCGAGAGGCAGTGGTGACCGACTTCGGGCTGGCCAAGGAAGTGGCGGAGCTGTCGGCCAAGAGTCCGGAGAGGAAGCTCTCGCTGGTGGGCTCAGCCTTCTGGATGGCTCCCGAGATGCTGCGGGGGGAGCCCTACGACCAGAAGGTGCCTCCCTCCCTCCCTCCCCCGCCAGGGGTGCCAGCTGGGCCTGGGAGATGTCCAGGGAGACGAGAAGAGCAGGGCACTGGGGGCAGGGGGCTCTTCCCTGCGGCTGAGCCTGGCTCCCTTCGGCAGGTGGACGTCTTCTCCTTTGGCATCGTCCTCTGCGAAATTCTGGGCAGGATCCCCGCTGACCCTGAGGTGCTGCCACGAACTCAGGTGACTCCCAGGACCGAAATGTGTTAGGCGGGCCTTTCCTGTTCCGAGCACTTCCTGCCGGCACCCTCGAAAAGCATTTACAGCTTTCCTGAAAAACCCCTCCCCTCCCCAGGGGTGGGATTCAAATTTTTAACAACCGGTTCTGTGGGTGTGGCTTAGGTGGTGGGCGTGGCTTGGTGGACATGTGACTGGGTGGACATGGCTTGGTAGTCATGTTATTGGCTGGGCATGGCCAACTCAATATCACTCACATCGAGGCGCGCATCTCCTCGCCGGGCCTCTCGTGACTGTGGGGATGCTGCAACAGTCGTAAGTGTGAAAAAGGGTCATAAGTCACTTTTTTCAGTGCCATTGTAACTGAATGGTCCCTCCACACAAGCAAAGTACCAACAAAGGAAGGGGAAAAAAACTCCAGAGAAGTTCCTGAGACAGGAAATCCAGTCCTGCCAAGAATGTAATAAGGGTTAATGGAGAGGCAGATTCTGTAAGCAACACCAGAATGTTTCCTTCCTGCCTTCCTTACAGGATTAGACCAGTAATTTCTTCTAACAACCGGTTCTCCAAACTGCTTAGAATGTTAACAGCCGGTTCTAGGGAATAGGTGCGAACTGGTAGAATCCCACCCCTGCACACACACCCCGCCCCGCTTCCTTCGTCCCTGGGAAGGCAAGTTGGAGGGGGAGCTGATTGGGGAAGCAAGAGGGCGGCCGGGGGGGGTGGGGTACGAAATGACAGAAGCCCTCTTGAAACCCTCCGTTCCTCCCTCCAGGATTACGGGCTGGACGTGGCCGCCTTCCACAGCATGATCCACGGGTGTCCCACGCGGGTTTTGGATTTGGCTGCCAGCTGTTGCAAGGTGAGGACTTCCTTCCAAAGGGGGCCTCTTTTGCCCCAGCAGCTTTGCGGGTTGCAGAGGCGGCGGCGGCGGCGGCAGCTGAGGGTGCTGGGTAGTAGAGCCTCTGTGTCCAGGGCCACCTACCTTAGAGTTGTAGGTCCACGTGGGGGCACAGAGCGACAGAGGGGCCTCTGGCTACTCAGGCAGCTCCTGGGGGAAAGAGAGCGCCTGCCTCTCCAGTGAGAAGGTTCC